GCTCTTCCTCCATTAGCACTAGAAGAACAAATCCGAAAACAATTGTTTGAATTATCCTTAAAACAAGTACGGTTAAACGATTTTTTCCAATATTTGTAACAAAAAAATATTACTTATTCAATATTATTTATTCACCATGTCGATAAATAATTCATTCGTGATAGTTGAAATATATAATGATAGTGCATATATATATATATATACAGGGTGAGGCATTTATAGTGACGCGGGCATATTTTTCCATTTTTTCATTTTTTGATATCTCACTTCGTTTCCGAAAAATATGCCCGCGTCACTATAAATGCCGCACCCTGTATATACACACACACACACACACACACACACACACACACACATATATATATATATACATATATATCTTATCAAATTTGCATTGAAAAAATTTTCATAAAAAAAATTAGCATGTTTTTTACATTTGAAAGAATCATGCATTATGCTCATTTATTCCAATTCTAATGGCGAGGGAAACGTGTAACTTTGACAATACGCGTCATTGAATACTTTAGCAGTTTTTGCGTCATCGAAATCGACAAAAATAACAATAGGACATTAGGCGGCTTTAAAAGATAACTTGTTATCTCTCTCTCTCTCTCTCTAAGTTGCTTCACTATAAATATAATAGATATATGCGTGACAAAAAAAAAAAAGAAAAAAAACGAGCGTTTCATGTATAGAATATATTAAACATGTTAGTATATTCCAGGTTCCTGCTCTTTATGTCACAAGGCAAAAAATAGTGTTTATAATATCGTTGTTTGAAGAATGCATTTTACATGAAATAATTTATACATTAAATTTATACATTTTCCTCAATGATGTCACAAATTTAACATAATAATAATATCATTGCACATCTTTTTCCATAACACACAAAGAAAAAAAAAAGTTAATATATTTAAATATATTTTGATCAATATGGTTTTTTATTACAAATTGTGTGATTTATATTATGCATTATTAATAACTTACATTCCATAATTGTAATATAAAAAGTATTATTATATATAACAAAATCTTTGGAATATAATTCTATGTGCTAAACAGTTTATATAAATTTACCTGAATTTTAAAGATCTTAAAAATTGTAAATATTAATAGAAATAAAATACATTTAATTTTATGTACAAAATATATCTGTTATGTATTATTTCAAAAATTGTGTAGAATTTATTAATGCATGTAAATGCAAATTCAGTTGAGTATTGAATAAAGATTAGATATGTAATAGTTTCATTTCCCTCAATTTAATCTTATTTTGCTGTGAAAGAAGTGAATATTGCTGAAATCAACTCGCCAAAAGAACAAATTTAAACAACAGAATTGAAAATTTCAGTCACAAATAATTTATAGCAATATGTATATTATCTATAACAATTATGTGTGATTATTGTGTATAAAATATAATAAAACGGTGAAGAGAGACTAGAGCACTGCGCCAAAATATTAGTACAATACTAGCAGTATATATAATGAAGATCTTAATCTGTACAAACATAAATGAGAATTAACATTTTAACATTATAAGATACAAATAGAATAACTAACAATTAACCATTGCTTATAATCATAAATGTAAATATAATAAAAATCAGATCACATAAATATTCATGTAGATATTTTATCATAATATCATATACATTCTGCACTATCCTCTTTAGATTATAGAACAGAATTTATTTATTCATTAACATAAAAAATAATTCTCATTGATTGTGTACTGTGTGAGTTAAATATCATCTATGTTTCAATTTTAATATGCTATTATGAGCATATAGTGAACTTTTCAAAATAGCATGTGTATGTGTATGTATGATAAACACATATAAATATTGCACATTAAAAATAACTTTATATACTGTAGACTTGTGTAATGTCTTATAAAATTGTCATTATTATCAAGATTTTGGACAAATTACCAAAATCCACATTATGATAATAAATATTTGTACTTTTAAAGTAACAAAAAATACTGCAGTTATGTAAAATGCATATTTCTTTACAGCGTAATAAAAATAAATACTTAAATAATTTAACATCACACAAGCAGTATTACTTCAATAAAATAAAAATTGATAATAAAACATACATATTTGATACTAGAGCATTAATTGCACTATAAAAAAATTAATCATATATCTATAAAAATTTAATGTTCTATAGAAGTTAGTAATATATTTAAATTCTCTTGTCTCTCTGCTATATATTAAATATATCTTACAACATAGTATAATGCAACATAACATATAATATAACACTAAACAATAACACTGTATCACTCTTTTTTAAAGATGTATTAGATGTTTTTATGTTATCAAATATTGATATTCAATCGTGTCTATAAAAAAAGGTATATTGTTTTATATATATATATACATACATGTTGTATGTGTATATATAAAACTAAAAATATCTGAAATATGCTTAATATTACATACAAAAATTACTTAAGAAAGTCTACTACAACCGCAATTACTACTATCACCTATTGATGTCGTTTTACCATTTATTGAAGTGGTATTCGTTTCGTATCGAGGTAATTCCTTACTTCGCGCTTGCTAAAATAATACATAGCCACTGCAAAATGTGTACTCTATAATGAGATATTTCTAAATAAAATATGCTTACTTACTTCCATAAGTTCAGCTGCTATCTCCATAAATAATCTTTCTACATTTTCTGCCTCTTTGGCAGATGTTTCTAAAAAGTACATTCCATGTCTTTGTGCAAAATCTTCACCCACATGTGTCGGTATTTCTCTATCTTCTCGATCAATTTTATTTCCTAATGTTCAAAAACATATATTTATGAAATTATAATTCTTACATGAGATTTTATCTTATTAATTTATATCTCCTCACTTACCTACTAATATCCTTAAAACTTTATTACTTGCATATTCTTCAATTTCCCTTAACCAATCCGGTAAACAGTCAAACGTAGGTTGACAAGAAATATCATAAACTAATATCAATGCATGTGCCGATCTATAATAACTCTGAGTAATAGAACGAAATCTTTCCTGACCTGCAGTATCCCAAATTTGCAACTGAAAAAGAGGATAATAGAGAGATTAGAATATAAATTAAATAATCTATATGTATATATATATATATATAAATAAACTTATTATGTTAAGCTATATATACCTTGACTTTTTCATTTTCTACTTCAACAGTCTTAATCATAAAATCGACTCCAATTGTCGCACCTTGTCCAGGTGGAAATAAACCCTGCAAGTTTTAAAAGACTCAATAAAATCATAAATATGCTTCTATACATGTACACAATTCTGATTATCTTCATTGTATGCTATATCCATAAGAATTTTATCAGGTAAGAGAAAGTAGGCAACATTAGCCAATACTATAGAAAATAACATAAAACAAAAAACCAAAAATTGTAACATATACATAGGAAAGACAAATACAAAGAGTATGTATTCTGCATATATAGATGACATCATCTCTACAATGAATAAATAATGAACTTTCCACTCTTCCAGGAAACGCGTCCGCGCGTGAACTTGGCGTGCCAGGAAGCTTAAAGCGAGAAGATCAACGAGCGAGATCTATTTCCCCTCGATTCACCCAACCGAATCCGGAGAATCATCGGGAAAACGTCATCTGACGTACCTGAGTGAATCGTCGCACTAGACAAGTCTTGCCCACGCCGGCGTTGCCCACGAGCACGACCTTGAAGAGAAACTTGTAGTCCTCCATGTTCACATCAGCACCGGGAAGCAGGATCCGTCGACGAACAGCGCGTTCGCGTACCTCCTATTCAACGGGGACGACACATCGGATCGGGCGAGAGAAAGATAGAGAAATTTTTAGGCATAACAGACTTTCAGCAGACGTTCACCGGTTGACAGCAGGCTGCGCGCGTAATGTCGTAACGCGTGTGTGTGCTCTCCTTTTCGATTTCGCGGCCGAAGGAAGAGGGGGAGGGGACCCTCGGGAAGAAAACGACTACCTCGGCATCGTCGTCGCGCTTGCCGCTACACACGATTCCTCACTGAAACTTCCTGTTTCCCTCGGACGAGACCGACGAGGATGCGCGCGCGCGGCGCGAAAGTTCCATCTGGTTCCGTCATTGGGCCCCCTTCTCATTTCAGTTGCTCGCGTTCTGTTCTCGTCTGCCTTTCTTTCTTCTCCCTCCAAAGTTGGAATATATCCGTAACTCAACATACATACACATTTTTGGATTCGAAGATGTTATTTTTTTCGAGGAAACAATAATATTTTTTATTATAAGGGATCTTTTTTAAATCAACTCTCTAGCTGAGAACTTCAATGTGGAAAATAAATAGGTAAATAAATAGATTTTTAAATGTTGTTATAGCATCATCTGTATTTTATATCTATCTTGCAAAAGTACTGTTGAATTTTTAATTATTATTCAAGATGATTGGATATTTTTGTTGACTATTATAACGATAGATATAACAACTTTGTTTACCAACTAATTTGCACATTAAATAGTTAATATGTATTTTATTTAAAATACAGGAAGTGCAATTGATGCAACTTTCGAAGACGAACCATAGAAAATATACCTTTTCTCGCCGAAAATGATGTACTTCATCGTTTAGCATCAAGAGAACGTCATTTAATCCCACCTTTGTCTATTGAATTCTCATAATGAGTTATTTATTTTGTTGATAAAATGGTCCATCAGAATATATTCCACACACACTCCCTCCTGACATAAATTATGTATACTTCAAAATAATCAATCTTTTATCTCGGATGTGTCATAAGAATCATAACTTTTCTACAGTTTTAAAAACTTTAATATAATTGACATAACCTCGACATGTGTCAAAGTTGCGTGATGGTTCTTATTAACTCTCCAAAGAAATAGGTCAGTCGAACTATCAAACTTGAGAAAAAATGACAAAGTTTATACACATACATACATAGTTTGAGAATAATTTAACATCAACAAAATCCCTTCGAGAAACTTAATTTAATTTTGATAATCGAAAAACGCGGATCAGAAAAAAATGAGGCGAAAGGCGGGAGTGGGTGCGATACAGAAGCAAAAATTGGAGCAGGAAAAATATCGGGACAAGAGCACAGAGATTCAGGAGAACCAGTTCGAGCAGATGACGAAGCATATGGAGATGTTTCGCGTGAATTTAGAGGAATTCGCGTCGAAGCACAAAAACGAGATAAAAAAGAACGCGCGTTTCCGTCGTCAATTCACAGAAATGTGCGCTTCCATAGGTGTGGATCCGCTGGCATCTGGCAAAGGATTCTGGTCGGTGCTGGGTATCGGTGACTTCTATTACGAACTCGCTGTCCAGATTGTAGAAGTATGCATGGCAACAAATTACAAGAATGGTGGCTTGATATCATTAGACGAGCTGAGAACACGCTTAATTCAAGCCAGAGGACGCAGAAAGGAACATCAGGAAATCACTAATGAGGATCTGTTAGCTGCCGCAAAGAAGTTGAGGATATTTGGAAATGGCTTCTCTGTAGTTCCTATCGGTAGAGGAAAACATTTAGTGCAGTCAATACCCGGTGAACTCAGCATGGATCATACTGCAGTATTACGCCAGGCCAGTTTATCCACAAATGCTTATGTCTCCAAATCAATTTTATGCAAAGAATTAAGATGGGAAAAGGACAGAGCGCAGAAAGCTTTGGATCATATGATGAAGGAAGGATTGGCTTGGTTAGATGAGCAAAGCGAAGATGAGATATTGTATTGGTTTCCCAGTTTATTCACAGCTTGCATTGTCTCCAAAGAATAAACTTTGTATCAACCTATCAACATATTGTTATCAGATAAGTAGGAAAAATTTTAAAGAAAAACTAATGTTGCTTGAGATTTGTATCTCTTTATTAAATAAAAAAATCGATTATCCTATAATATTTATGAGTATATCAGATCCATTATCCTTATATTCATTAATCCATTTTTATAGTATAAGACATTGTCATCTAGTCTCGCATCTTTTCCAACTAAAATAAGAAAGAACTATAAAACATATACCAGTTTTATGATTGTATTTTTAAAATTTTATAGTACAAACCCGCACACATGCATAGCATTTGATGTAAATACATTTTCGTCATTCAAAAGTAAGAGTCTGTTTCCCAGTGCAGCATTTTTG